TCTGTGTCTGGCAGAGATGAAGCCTTTTACCTTGTTGGATTTTCTAGTCTGGAAAAAGAAAAGGAAAGTCCTCAGATGCCCACGAGATGGAGCTGTGAGTCCACAATCGTGATGAACAGGAATTGCAGGAAAAGAAGACTCCGTACAAACCTGTACCAAGCCCATCTCCTGGGGGCTGGGGCAACTGATCCTTGGAATTTATGCAGCACATATAAGCCGGTTCTCATCCAACATGTGTTTTATCAAGCATTCTTTTCAGATGTTAGGGAAAAATTCAGAAAGAGCCGGGTGAGAAACTCTTCTTTATTGAACAACGATCCTATGACATTTGTGCATTGATGTAATTTCATTTCGTGGTCACTGAATGAATAAATCCTTACAATCACTTTGCAGAGCCTGCACTAGTATCCCTGTTTTCTAATGAGCACACTGAGCATTCCAGAGGTCGAGTTCCTGGCCCAGGCTCGCCTACAGCACTCCTTAGGCTGCCAAGTCAAGATATGAACACTGCTCCTTTCGAATTTCCAGCCTGTGTTCTTTTCAGCTCCAGTGCCCTACAATTTCAGAGAATGATGGCATGAACTTGGATGGGTACCATTCATGGGTGTAGTTATCCTCTCAGTAGAAACAGATCCTGTTCCTATGGGGACTAGGGGATGGATTGGCCACCATGACCTTGTGTAAAGCTTCTGCAAATGGTCGTCACATACAACTTTTATTACATAGATTGCTGTGTTGAAATTACTAGTTTATGCTCTAAATGATCTCCTGTGCTATGTATAGTAGTGGGTCTGTCTCTTTAATGGATTTTCCAGTTTTTACTGCAGGCTGGTTAAATGCAGACAGTAAAGGGTCAAGGGTTCCTGGTCTCCTTTTCTCCTTAATTTACTACATTTCAATTTGTTGACTTCTGAGATAAGTTAGTCTGGTGAGAAAGCCTCTCTTTATGTGGATGTGACCATGCTTTGATTTTTCTTAAAAAAAAATAGGACCAAATATCAGGACATCAGTTGACAGAGATCAGTCCAAGGGTTTTATGCCCCTCTTATTACAGGTCAACTGCTCAAATAGCTTTTATTCTTTGAAAAACACTTTTCTACGTACTGGCAATAAACCAGGCAGTAGCGATAGAAAGGTGAGTGAGTTCCTGCCCCACGCTGCTTAATCAGAAAGCCCCCCCTTGCATTCAGCCTTCTGCCTGAAGAAGTGCATCTGGACACAGTGAAATTGTTCTTAGCCCAGGCTTGGTGGTCAGAGGCTGTGGACAGCTGAGGGCTTGTCCAACTGCTTCCCTGAAGAATCAGTCTGCTCCCGTTTCACCTGTGCATCCGTTTACGATCATATTTATCAGGTTAAGAGCTCAGTAAATATTTAATGAGTTGAATAGTTTTGATAATCATGATTGAAACGACATAACTCAGAGATGTGCGCTGATTGCTTAAATATGGCATTTCCGTGGCAAAAGAAAACTGATAGCCGACCAATAACGTTTAATTGCTAGAAGAAAATGTAGGAGTTGGTAGATGAGAATAGTGTTGATACAGATATCTTTGAAATATCTGATGCTATGGTAGGAGCGTGTGTCCCAGCATCAAACAGATTTGGGTTTCATTTGCAACTCTCAGTGTTTTATGTGACGTTGAGTAAGTCCTGTCATCTCTAATATGCAAAATAGGAAATATAATGCCCACCTACAAATGTCAAATTTGTGTGTGTGTGTGTATAAACACATAAATCATGATACTCACCATCTTGTTGACCATGAGAATCTGATTTGCTTTTAAGCATTGGGACGTGAGTATGGAATGATGTAGTAGAATGGAATAGGAGTAGAAACAGATTCTAGTGAATATCCCCCACGAGCGAGCTGACGTAGGGTAAAGAAGGAAGGGATGCTCTCTTGGGGGACAGATGATAGGTGTCACCTTGAACATACTGGAAAAGACATGACCAGAGCATATCCACATGGGGATGTCCAGATCTCAAACTGTATGCAAGCTTTGATGGAATAAAGTTAACGATGACAGTAAACTCAGAACCTGACTCACCCAGAGCTCAATGTTTGAACCACAGCCTCCTCTGATTCACATCCCTTCACTTGCACTGGATGAGTAAAGGTATTCAGGTGCTGAACTCACAGGGGATAAAATTCGCCATTCTCGTACTGCCCTCAAGTCCCTGGAAGTATGCCCCCGAGTTCAGCACATAGACACTGTGTTTTTAATTCTGAAATCACACTTGGAGACAGGCTGTCCTTCAATTTAATTTGATTCAATCAATATTTACCAAAGGTCAGCCAGGTTAACGCAGTTAATATAGTAGATTCCACAAGAAGAATACTGAAAACGAAAGGTTGAGCTTCCTGGCTTTTAATAGTTTACAATATAATTGGAGCCAAAAAATAGAGACAACAGAGAAAACAATATCTTTTAGTAGAATGCATTGTCTATCTATGAAACATATTTAAAAGAACACTATGCTTTCTTTTATGGATTTAAAAGGTCCTAGAAAATTTCTATAAAGTAGATCAGATTTTACTAGGGGTTTCCGTGATAAGATGACAGACATGCACCGTTCAGGGAGAGGTTCTCGCTGGACTGAGTTAAAAACCTTCAGGAAGATGGAAATTGGGAGGTGCTGATTTGTCATCCTGGAGGTAGCTGTCTCTTCTCTAGCAGTTCATCCCTACGCCTCCTCCAGGGAACGTCCCAGGCTCTGATGGATTTCACCATATGCAGTGCTCCTCTGCGGGCTGCAGAAGTTTAAGATGTAGTCCCTGAGAGTCAGGCATGAGCAGGTTATTAATCGCATGTACTCACAGCCCAAAAGAGGAGAACACGTGCCACTCAGGGCACACCACGTGCCATGAAGATTACATCTGAGGACAGAACAAACATCCCGGGGCTGTAGGAGACAGACTTTGTAGTATCAGGGGGCGAGGTGTCCCCTTCTTCCCGTGGGAGGATGTGATTGGCTTGTTTGAATAATTCCAATGGCTGGCAGGAAACTGAAACCTACTCCTCAGGTGTAAGCAGGAGCTGTGCCTCGTGCTTTCGATACAGAGAGCTGTTTGGCTATGAGACTTCACCCGTGGGAGCACAGTGGGGAGTGGAATTTGCAGTTAGGTCACGGAAGCTCTCCCTGTTTCACCAGATGTCAAGACATTACATAATATTGAGACTTGATTTTAGATCGTACACAACAGCAGTGGAGATTTTGGATATCCTTGTCCTCTCTGCTGTTGACATTTTTCTCCCATTGACAACGGGCAGCAACGTTTTCAAAACATGCAAAGCCAGGAACGTCCACTTTAGTAGCTTTTATTAAAGGCTTTTAAGGATCAGCCACCTTATCTTTTACAAAATCCACAAGCCTAGACCTATGGTCTCCTGTCTGGTTCTATGTAAGTACTTGCTGATTGAACGGCATGTAGATTGGCGAGCCCATCTACTTCCTTTAGAAAGCTCTCAGTCCTGCAAAACAGTGGCATTGATATTGACATCATTAACAATCGCTATTGTCTCTAATCCTATCAGGAAAGGGGAATAGCATATTAATTTATCAGGTGATGAAATGGAATCCCAAAGAGGTTAATTAACTTGCCCAAGACCATATTGCTGGTGAGAGTTGGATCCAGGACATTTCACATTATACTTGTAATTGCTAATAGAGACCGAAGTGTATTAATTGCTTCCAACCTGTCTCCTTCACTTGTAGCGTGTTTCCTGGTGGCAGAGACCATTTCATAATCCTCTCTGCATCTACTGCGGTAGCTTCACGGTCTGCGGCAGCTTCTCGGTCAGGGCAAAAATAAATGTCTGATGGAAAGACATTGTATTTTGTTGTAGTAAGAATGGAAAGGGGAGGTTTTTAAGGAGGAGTGAAGGAAGGCTGACTTTCTTAATTATAGGATGGTGAGTGGGTCCCTCTGGGCAGGTTAGTTGTCTTAGCTAACCCATCCTTCTTAGATATAAGTTGGAGGAGAGGTGCTGTTGAGTGATTCAGTCTCCCTGTAACCCATCAGTCTTAACCAATTGTGGGCTGACTCAGGGGTCAGATCCAAAGAGGAATCAAGTCAGTTAGGTCTGTGTTGGAGTCTGAAACGAAATCTCCTATGACTTCCAGCCAACCTAGACTTTGGAACACATTTGTGGAGAGACTTGGGTCCATCTTCAGAAACTTAGCCACCGCAGGGCAGACTGCTACCTGCTTCACAGCTTGGCCACCAGAAGAATACAGAGCAATAGAACTGGAATTCAAGGCTGTACTTTTCTTTCCAATTCAGGGGAACTGTGCAGCAGGAACCACCCCTAGCACCTGATGCAAATCGTCCCACTACATCCTCACAACGGCTCTCTGAGGAAAGGACTGTCCTTCTCTTCAGTTTGTAGTTCGCTGGCCAGTCATACATGAGTTTTGTAGATAAACTAGGGGAGGACTGAAGCCCTTGCCTTACTGCAGTACCTTTAATAAAGAGCCTGCTGAGAACTAAATAGCTATTCACTGGGCATCGGCTGATGTGAGATGAAGAAAACAGCATTTCGCTGATAGAGCCCCTCTTCAGACTTCAGAATCTGATATCAAGGCTGAGGATCCTCTCCCACCTTCGCTTACGTCTGCTTCCCAAGGCCAAGAGCAGGTGGAGATGCCAAATGCTGGGTTGTCAAGGGATCATCCACTAGAAGACATTTGTCATACATGTCTCTCATCTGACAATTTAATTGGGGCAAATTTTGAAAATTTCCGGAAGATTATTGAAGAGGCTTTTTTTAAAAAATTAATTAATTAATTTATTTTTGGCTGTGTTGGGTGTTCGTTTCTGCGCGAGGGCTTTCTCTAGTTGTGGAGAGCGGGGGCCACTCTTCATCGCGGTGCACGGGCCTCTCACTATCGCGGCCTCTCTAGTTGCAGAGCACAGGCTCCAGACGTGCAGGCTCAGCAGTTGTGGCGCACGGGCCCAGTTGCTCCGCAGCATGTGGGATTCTCACAGACCAGGGCTCGAACCGATGTCCCCTGCATTGGCAGGCGGATTCTCAACCACTGTGCCACCAGGGAAGCCCGTATTAAAGAGGTTTTAAATGTCTCATAGAAGAGCCTATAATAGCTCTCCCAAATGACAGGGAAATGAGCAAGCAAGGTGGTCCTTCCACAGGTGACATATTTGGAACTTCTTCCTCCCCACCCTCACCCTTTGCTTTTTAACGTAAATGACAGATTTCAGCTTCAAAATGAGACTTTAAAACACAGCCTGCTCTAGAGACGGTAAGTCCCTAATTCTCTGGCTGGCAGAAATTTTCCATCCTAGTTCTTAATCGCTTCCACAGTTTCATGTTTGAGGCTCACAGTTTATTCCATTGTTGAAAGTTACATTAATGCCCGCAGTAACAGTCTTTGCTTTGCTGTGTCAAGGAAGAAACGTGACAAATGGAATTTCCCTTTTAGACCAGAGAGGAGAGGAAAGACCTATGAGCTGGAGTTAGGAAATATCTTTCTGTGTCTGGCACCTTCCTGAGGAGAAGACCAATTAATTCCACCTTTACCCATCCCCCAGGGGGAAAAAAAGCAAGACAGTTGTTTTAGGCTCTCCTCCAATTAAGAAAGTTACCTCTGATAAATCATTCTCTGATTCTTTTGATTAGGATGAGATGGAAAATTCGGAACTTGCAGGGACAGAAACTGATCAAAGAGCTTCATTCTCTGGAAAATGTAATGTCAGAGAGGATACCAACCTCCTCCCCTTTCTCACCTTGCCAACACGCAGCCTGGGTGGCAGGCAGCTCTATGCCAAAGCTTGGACTCTTCGTCATACATACATCCCTGAGTTCCAGACACGGTCTGCTTCCTCAGAGACTGGGGGTGAAGGAGAAAGAGTGGTACCCAAGTTTCATGTCCAAATTTCACAAGTTCCAACAGGTGCACCTTTCAGCAAGCAGAGGGTGATTCTGACTCCTTGAATTCTTTCATAGGACAGAAGGCATAACCTGTGCTGATTTCCACTTGAGCTCTCCGGTGTCATGCTAGTGATCTTTTTCTAATCTATCCATGGGACGTACATGTCCACAAATGCAAACAGGTGGAATTTCATCATTAAAAAAATAAATGGTGCATAGTTATTAGGAGGAGGGGATAAAAGCTTTAGCAGGACATTTAGAGATGGTGTGCATTCTGTCTTTACACAAGGGACATAGGGGCTGTGCCCACACGACTGAGGCATGATGGGTCCAGGATTAAGTCCCATCTATTCTTATGAAAGGTGGAAAATGTCATGCTTTGATTAAACCAGGTGGCACTGGGGGACTTTCCAAGGCTGCCCAAAATAGTAAGGGATTGTTTTTAAAACGGATATTGCTGTATGATGGCTGTTTACCTCTCTTGTTGAATTGTTTCCCTCTCTTCGGAGAGATGGACGAATTACCTACACATTTCAGTAGATTGTTATTTCTAAAACAATGACTGGCCTCATCTGTTCCACAGCTGGCTGGGGGCCAGCACAAGGGCCAAGGGAAGTTCAATTCCTCCCATGAATCAGCAGTCTCTCCCTGTTGTTATCATCATTTATCAGTTTCTATCTTGAAATATACTTGGAACCTCCAGAGGACACCTATACATTAAAAAGCTATTTTTAAAAAGTCCTCAGTTCTTGTTTCCATTTTAAGCTCGAAATTGGGATGTTTTGTCCAGCCAGGAGGTAGGCAGGGTCAGAAAGCAAAACTGGTAGTGTTGGTGGCGATTACGAAGAAATCCAATGTGTTGATGGAGGATGGAAAATTGTCTGTCAAATGCAGCTCATGGTCATTTTGAGCACTGGCTTCTTAATTCTCATGTTTCCAGCTCAGAACTTTAAGCTCTGTGAGTTGGTAGGCTCTAGAGCGCAGCTGGAAAGAGAAAAGCTAGGTGAGTACCAGGCCCCTTGACCCTAGGCACAGTCTCTGTCCAGTATAGACCAGAGACACAATAGAGAAGCATTGGTTCCTTGAGAGTTTACCCTCAAGATCCTCAGTTGCAAGGACTGAATTCTTTCCTGGAAATTTACATTCTAGGTAGTAAAGCTGGGACTGCAGAAGGAAGCGTAACTCAGTGTATTGAAAAGTTACCATGGCCACGAGCCATCTAGGAAGTTTCCACTTTCCATTACTGTGGAGTCACTGAGTTGTTGAATGATCAGCCTCACTCTTTTTCTCCAGGAAGATGCACCTGGATTCTGAAGTGCTCAATACTAATTTGTCAAGCGGACATCATGCTCTCCATTTTATTGATGAAGAAACGGAGGCCCAGAAATGAGAGCATCTTGATCATAATCACGCAGCTGGTTATGGAGAGAGCCAGGCTAGGAGTCTTTTGATGCCTGCGTACAAAGCCTGTTGCTCTTTCCACTACATCACACACCATTCTGGTCCTTTTATTTTTGAACTTTTAATTAAAAAATTTTTTTTGGTTAATTTTTATTGGAGTATAATGTTGTGTTAGTTTCTGCTGTACAGCAAAATGAGTTGGCTATATGATGGAGAACAGTATGGAGGTTCCTCAAAAAACTAAAAATAGAACTACCATATGACCCAGCAATCCCACTCCTGGGCATATAGCCAGAGAAAAGCATAATTCAAAGAGAGTCATACACCCCAATGTTCATTGTAGCACTATTTACAATAGCCAGGACATGGAAGCAACCATTCAGGTCCTTTTAAATTTATTCTGATCCACTTTTTTCTTTTAACATGGATTAAACAGTTGGACAAGCTGCATGGATATGAGTGGGGACGATGAATACGTGACTATGTAGACGTACACAGGCAGGTGGAAGAAGCAAGGGTCTCAGCAGTGTGGACTCTAGTTATTACCCTACTCAGTGTAGCGATGCTTGCGCTCCAATAGTGAGGGAGATTCTTTCAGACTTACATAGATGGCACTCTGGGCCTTTCTTCACAGGGACACAATGGCTTTGAACTCTCAATAGTGTGGCTTTTCTTAATGTGACATGATACAGCGCCTGTTACAAGAGGAAAATAAGAGCAATAATGTACAAATGACTATGTTTCTCCTAGAGGCTGTATTTCAGTGTGGGGTTTAGTGAGTTGGGAGCTTAGAGACCAGCTTTTTGGGTGACATTGGTGAAAGTCACTTAGTCACTCGTGCCTCGGATGGTGGTTCTGTTAAGATGGACACACTGTAAGTGGTGACCAACATGGCAGGCTGGCTTCTGTAATTTTATATACGTATAGGTGTATTTGCAGAAGGATTTTTAGAGTAGAAGCTAATTGCTTTGCTAGCCCCTCTCTGGAACGACACATAAGAAACTAGCCAATCGACTGTTTCAAAAAAAACGACACTTATATACCAGGTGGGAGAGATTTACTTTTCACTGTATCTTTCTTATTGCTATTGGATTCAGTTTCCTGGTATATGTACCATTATCTATTATAAATGAATAATATATGCGAATACTAAATTCATATAAGTTGTTTTGAGAGAAATCGGCAAACATACATGAAAGCGGCTACAAAGTTCTTGATATGTAGTAAGTGCTCCAAGTTGGTTAGTAACCACTCTCTAAGGTGGCCCTGGGAATTCCATGTGTAAAGTCTGCCTACACACTTAGAGACCTAGACTTTATCGAGGAGCCTCACTTGCTGGGTTTTTGCTCATACAGCGTTTTGAAGACGACTCTGGCCATGTTGATGCAATTCTCTGGTTGCCAACCACACGTTGCTATAACCTCCTGCACTCTAGTGGGCTGGGGTAGACTCCCTGGGTGTATGTTACCTATTGCCATAGTAATGCTGTGTAACAAAGAACTTCAGATCCTCAGGGCATCCAGCGGCAGGCATTTTTTGCTCAAGTGTCTGGAGTCAGCTGGTCTTGCCTAGGTGACTCTGTTGATTTTGACAGTGATTACTGACCTGGGCGGGGTTGGCTGGCTATCCTCTGATCTCAGCTGCCCTTCTCTGAGGCAGCTGGCCTGACTCGATCTGCCCCTTTTCTCACTCATCCTCCATCAGACTACGCCAGCATATCCTCACGGCAATGACAATGACCCCAAATGGCCACACCCAGTTGGCAAGCACCCTTCTGGACTTTGCTCATATCACATCTACGAAAATCCCTTTGACCAAAGCTAATCACGTGGTCAAACCCAGGGGTCAGGAAATACACTCTGCAAAGATTTGCCCAGCTCTGATATCTGAAAGGATTGACCAGACTCCGCAGGGAATACTCATGTGAGACTTTTATTTAAAGGTAAATGATATGGTGCAGTGAGATAAAGAGAATGCAGGGAAGCTTTGGGAATACCCGTCTCCAAATCCTTTCCCCTCTGTCGCCACGAACACTTGTAAAAGAACCTTAATCCTGTGGTTCCTCAGGTAACCCATTTAGAAAATGGAAACGATACCTGACTCAGAAGGATAAATTCGGCAATCAGTAAATTAAAAATAATCAATCAATAGTAGCATCTGCTTGGGTTTCTCTTTGCTCCTTCTCTTTCTGGAAAATAATCATAGAGATGATTGTGAAGATATTTGTTGCTTACTTTACTAATTAAAGTTACTAATTACCAGGGTTTACTAATTACTCATTCAAAAAAGCTGGAAAATACTTTGTTCAAAGCTTACCTGAGTCGAGGCTCCTGGAAGACATTTATCTCGGGGGTGGCGTGAGCATAAGGGAAATGACACAGCCTTGGGGCCAGTTACTGAGTTAGACAGACAGCAGGCTCCGGAATCAGAACTGAGATATCCTGAGTATGACCCCTGGAAAGCCACTCCACGTGTCCACCATCAAGCCTCAGACTGAGCAGGCTGCCTCACACAAATGATGGAAACGATGACAATACCAGATTACAGGGGATGAGAAACATAGAAGGATGCGTGGAGGAAAAGAAGGAGACAAGAAAACAAAACCAGAAAAACAAACCAACAAACAAAAACAAACCACAAAAAAACTTACATTCACAGCAAGTTTCCAAAACAAGATTCCAAAACACAAGAAAATCCAGGATTAAATCAGGCTGACATAATCAACCATCAGATTACAACTGTATTCTAGTCTGACAAAGTGTGTTTAAGATGTTATTCGAGAGATAAATAAGGCATGGTTTCATTAAAAAGAAGAAAAGAAACAAAATCGGGCAAAAAATGAAATATGAGAGCATAGATATAAAGCACATAATTCCAAAAATAAAAAAGGAAGATAAAATAGGCAATAAACAGGTAAACTGTAGACTTCCAAGACAAAGTTGCAAAGTAATGAATTGCTAGATGGCGCTGATAAAATCATTTAGGACCCAGCAGAGAGAGATAAGATAGAAATTTGAAATAATAGTTAAATGCATGGAAAAATAGTTTTAGAGGCTGAAATAAGCATAAAATATTTTCGGAGGAGAATGTTAGAGAAGCAATAGTTGACGAGATAATAACTGAAAATTTTCCAGAATCTAACACAGAAGGGAAGTTTTTGTACATGAGCAGTAGTGCCCACAGAAACTGACGAATGATCTGCAAAACAAATCCAGTAATGCATTAAACACACAGGTACACACAAGCATACACATCAGGACCAAAGAACATGATGCAGCAGTGTGAGCATGGTTTAACGTTATAAACATGCACTAATATGATTCACCATATAAAACTGAAAGTTATATATTTATCTCAACAGAGGTAGAGAAATAATGTGAGACAATTCAGTTCCCATCCATGACTTAGATAATAAATGTTTGAATAATAAGTTCTTAATAATGAATGATTAAATAATACATTATTTGAAAATAAATTTAAAAGAATTTTATTTGTAGTCCAAAAAAAAAAGAATGCTCACATTCACCATTTTTACTCAATGCTGTCAAGGAGAAGACCAAGTTGATGAAATAAAAACATATAAATTTTTAAGGAATTGAAAAGAAAAAGATAAACTATCCTTACTTAATGATGATGCAATAATTCCTAGGAAAAACAAAATAATCTAGAAAGAATTAGAACTAATAACATAATTTGATAAGATTTCTGAATACACAATTTACATACCAAATATCTAATAGGCTAGTAAAAGCCAACTAGAAAATTCAGAGGAATGAAATTGAAAAGACAAGAAAAGAAAGAAAGAAAAGTTCCTATTTATGATAGCAATGGTAATTATAAGTTACAATGAAATAAACCTAAAAAAAGATACAAAAAGCATCAATGGAAAAACATTCAAAATTATTTGAAGGACATACATTTCCAAGAATAGGGAGGCAATTAAGTCGTCACAGTAACCGGAGGTGCTACTAATTGAATGCCAGGAATAGGATGCCAAAAATCTTAAAATTTGCAGGAAGGTTTCAAACAAAAACTAGCATCTCACTCAAATTGCAATTGCCTGATTCCATTGAGAAACATGGATCTAAATAAATGGAAAAATAATCCACATTGATGATTGAAGATAAAAAAGAAGACTCAGTATCCTAAAGGTGTGAATTTTCACCCAGTTAATCTATAAATTCTCTCAGTTGAAAGAAGGGGGAAAGTCATGATGCCATGTTTTATCATGGAAGTGGATTTACTAGACTTTTTTCTTATTTCATTACTATTTCCTTATTTCCTATTTCACAGTATTATAAAAAAAAAGGACTTGTTCTTCCATTTTACATTTAATGACACAAAACAATAGAAAAGGGGTACATCTTTGTTCAAGATTTCTAAGATGGTGTCACGACCAGGAGTCAACCATGCAGAAGCCCATCATAATGTGAATGACTTGACACTATCAGTTGGATGTTGGTAGTTTACGTAGTCAGACGGCTTTCTTACTACCTGTATGATCAGTTATTCTCATATTGAAGATTTTGATTGATTTAATTACAAAGACGCTATACAAATTAGCTGCTCAGACACTTATGTAGTAAGAAAATGGTGTATCTTATTCATTTAAGCATGTACTAAAATACTAACAAATATGATACTGAAAAGTCTTAATTGATTTTATACAATTTAAGTAGGAGGAAGAAACAGGCTTTTTTTTAAAAAAAAAAAAACGGATCAATTACATCCTAATACCCTAAAGCAGTTTTTTATGCATATGGGTGCCAAGAACATTGACTCTTACAGTCTCTAGACCAAATAAATGTTTTCAAAGCTATTTAATATATGGCAAGAAATCACTGGAAAAATATTTTTGTGTATTTTTTTTTTTTTTTACGCGGGCCTCTCACTGTTGTGGCCTCTCCCATTGCGGAGCACAGGCTTCGGACGCGCAGGCTCAGCGGCCATGGCTCACGGGACCAGCCGCTCCACGGCATGTGGGATCTTCTCCGACCGGGGCACGAACCCGTGTCCCCTGCATCGGCAGGCGGACTCTCAAGCACTGCGCCACCAGGGAAGCCCTGGAAAAATATTTTTGTAATAAAAATGATTGCTTGCCAAACGTGGTATTCTTTTTGGTACTTCCCATTGTTTTCGTATATTCTGGTCTCATTCCTTTGCTCTCCCCAGCTGGGAAAATGAAGAGGTTGGGTTTTACAGAAAAAATGAGGTGTAGAGAATAATGTGAGAGAAGGGAAATTTACTGAGGGTATAAGGTAAAGCACCATTCTCCACATATAGCATCTTATTTATTTTCTCAAGTGCTACAGGTAGGCATTATTATTCCATTCCAAGAGCACCCAGCTAATGAGAGGCTGAGGAGGCACAATTCAAAACCAATATGGGTGTTGAGAATTAAATCCACACGCATTCTTTCCCCCAGTCACCTAGTGGGACCCTTAAAAATTAAAAAAAATGGGGATCAAAGAGGGTGCCACGCCCAGCAATTCAGCTCCTTGGTCTATGTCCAAATGAATAGAAACTAAGTACTCCAACAAATACCTGTACACAAATGTTTACAGCAGAATGATTAACAAAAGGTAGAAATACCCCAAATGTTCATCAATAAATGAATAGGTTAAAAACATCTTATATCCATACAATGGACTATTATTCAACCATTAAAAAGATTGATATACGGATACGGCAACAATATGAATGAACCTTGAAAATATTATGCTAAGTGAAAGGAGCCAAACAAAAGTTTACAAGTGATTTGAGTATATTTATATGAAACACCCAGAATAGGTAAAGCCGTAGAGACAGGGAGCAGATTAACAGCTGCTGAGGATGTGGGAGAGGAGAATGGTGAGTATCTGATGAGTAAGTGTTTTTGTGGGGGGAGGGATGATGAAAACGTTTTGGAACTTGAAAAAGGTTGAAGTTATACAATATTGTAAATTTACTAAATGTCACTGAATTGTGCACTTTAAAATGGTTAATTGTATGTTATGTGAATTTCACCTAAATTATATTTATTCATATAATTTTATTGTATTCAGAGAGGGAGCTGTGATAGAGACCAAATAAGTGGTGATATAGGCCAGTCAAGGAAGACTTCTCTGAGGAGGCGGCAGTTAAGCTGAGGCGGGAATGATCAGAAGGGTCAAATTACTTGAAGGCCTGGGGAAATAGCATTCTCGGGAAAGAACTCTCTAAGCAGAGGAAGTGGCCAGCGCTCGGTCGTTAGGGAGGAATAGTGAAAAGCCCAGTGAGGCTGGAGCCAAGTCGGTGCAGGGGAAGGAAGGTGCGTGAGGAGGTCTGAGAAGGGAATCGTTGGGAGTGTGTTAAAATCCACCGGGGATTTGCTTTAATCGCGTATAGTTAAGACACGCAGACGTGGAAATGATGGTCATGAAAGATTCTCAGAAACGGGGGGCACAGCACACCACGCAGGCCACACGGGGAAGTGCCAAGGTCGGTCAGGAGGGAAGAGCGTGGCCCAGAGCCTTTATGGGGATTTAGTGGAAAGAAATGGGCAAAACAGAGTAGGTACTCTTACGTTTAGTATTGTTTAGCTTGAATAATTTTGGTGGGCTCTGAGCTATAAGAGTGGCCCTAGCTGTCTGGTATCTGGCCCTAGGGTGATTTAAGGGAGGTGAAATATTGGATCAGTGTGGGACGGTTTGATAAGTAGGTGGTTAGGGTGTGGTCTCTGAATTGGGTGTTTTTTATATCAACGGCATGCTCTCAGAGACATCCTTCACTATCTCTAGAAATTTGCTAGCCCTATGAGGAGCAGTCTCTCCAGGATCATGGTGACAAATGTCAGTGCATCAAGAATACGGAAAACAAGAAACTATAGTCAATACAGGAGTCCTTCTGGTCTCCGTACAAAGTTTGGCTCTTATTCTAGTTGAAATAGAATTTTAAGCAGAAGAGTATGAAAACATAATCTAATTTACTGAATTTCATCTACTCCATGGTTACATTGGTTGATAATCTTCCATAATTTTATGTATTGTGAAGAAAGAGTAAAACTTTGCCAATTAAATTCTGTATGCCATTGATTGTAAGACACCTCTCATGTGAGAGATGTTACAACATGAAAAAAATGTGTTTCCTGGAAGTTTGAATGCAATATATTTTTTAAAATATATTCTGTACTTTTTGGAGAAAAGGGTGGGAGAATTATGCAAAAATAAAAT